ATATATATATATATATATATATATATATATATATATATACACTAATAAACTACTGCACCAGAAGAGGCAGGGTGAAGAATTGCGAGCTTATGAGAGGGGTTTTGCAGACCTCTTCTTCATCCTAAGTATTGATTCAAAGTGAATGAATCGTCAATCACTCAGTCACAGACTATTAGAAACACCTGAGGGCCGGGTGGTGGTGGCGCACGCCTTTAATCCCAGCACTTGGGAGGCAGAGGCAGGTGGATTTCTGAGTTAGAGAGTTCGAGGCTAGCCTGGTCTACAGAGTGAGTTCCAGGACAGCCAGAAACCCTGTCTCAAAAAACCAAAAAAAAAAAAAAAAGAAAAAAAGAAAAAAAAAGAAACACCTGAAAGGACAGGACATGGAAAACAGGAAACATGACCTAGTCCCTTCTCACTCTCTCCTGCTGGGGGGTAGTTTGGGATGGGAACCCTTCCTTCTGTTCTTTCCTCATTTGCTCTGCTTGGCCTCACAGAATCAGTACTAAGTAACTTCTGGAAAGCACCCCCAGAACAAAGGTCCCGGGTTGCCCACCAGCCATCCATGAATCACATTACGTGTCTAATAAGGTGGGACCTTACTAGAGGAGATGATTTCCTGCAGCCATGACAGGCTCTGACTTGGTAGAAGGACAGGATAATTTACTGTGCCCAGTGAAAAGACATAAATCACCTTGAGAGCAGACTGCCCCTGTCACTGCTGAGGCTCAGTTACTACCCAGTAAGAATCGAGGGCTCTGTACTCTACCCCTCAGACTGTAGCTGTATCCAAGTCAATCATGGTGTCTGGGAAGAGTAAAGCTCCAGGGAACCTGAAGTGTTAGATTAAGGGGGACATGTGATGATGGAGGTGGGGGAAAGGAGCTGTGGGGTTAAGAAAAAACAAAGGAAATGGAGGCCGAGAATAACAGCTCTGTTTAAAATCCAGGGCTCTAAGAACAAACCTGAGGTCATTGTTGGACCTGGGGCAGGAACCTGGGTGACATGTTCTTTGATCACCTTTAGCTCCAGCTTCTCACTGCGATTGGACCAGGTGTTCCCTTTCCTATAAAAACAGTGATAATGTCCGGTGATGGTTTTATTCACTGGCCCAATATGGAATCTATCCTCTCTCATAGATGGCTCAGAGTCCTTTTCCATAAAGATACTGCCATCCTTCTCCAGGCGGACTGTGTCATAGTCACCAGACTTTGAGCACACAACAGTTACAAAACTCCCTTGAAAGATCACAGGACCTGGCTCAGCACAGATGGTGACATCAGGCAGAGATCCTAGAAAAGAGCAGAGCAGGAATCTCAGGATACACAGTGAGGACAGTGCCATAACAGGAAACCAATTTAGGCACACCGTTCCGTTTTCTTACCAAATTTAGAGTTTTCTAGACATGGTCAAACTCAAGCAGCATAATACCTCCACTTTCTGTGTGCATTAATACCGATCACTTGGCAATAAGGACTTTATTGAGTACATGTTGTGTCTGGTAAAGATTGATCCAAGGCAATCGCAGAAACAGTCTAGACATGTTTGCTGCAGAGCCCACTGCCCCTGCTTACTCCAGAGACCTCTGCATTCTCTCCCTTTATCTCCACCTTCTTTCCATTCTGTTACTGAAGCTTTAGAAGCCAATCTACTTCAAACTATCTAGACGTAGGAGCACACCCATGAAATCATAGATATATTTACTTATGTCAAGAGACAAATTTAAAGCACGTGAATTTACCTTTTGTGAAGATAACATGGATTATGTACCACACCTGCCCTTATCAGTTTCCAAGCTTACAGATGTGTAGATGCTAATCATAACGCACAATAAACCTCCGGTCCTTATGTATGAGTAAGTGAGATTATGTGCCCTCAGACCAACACTCTCTAGTCTGCTCTCCTCCCTTGACTCACTCTTTCACCATTTCCAATATCTTCTAGAGATGCCCTCTGTGATCCCATGTTTTGACTTATACAAGAACACAGTTTCTTCCATTTGAAGGTAAAGGATGGGAGAGAAAAGTGATGTTTAGAAAAGAATTGTCCAATATAATGGTAGCAAGACTGCAATTGATGTGAGGAGTGGAGAATATGAATCTCAAAAGACAGGTGAGATCAGAGATGCACTCTCTGTGATGACAGGAAAGAAATACTTCCACTGAGATCCAAGAGACAGGAGTAAATTTGTTGCACAAAGCAAACAGGGACGAGAAGAATCAAACATTGACATAACAGGGAAGCTTCACATATGATACATCAAAAATATGGCTACTTAAACATCTCCTGAACAAAAACATCAGTTGACATCCCAGCTTGGTTGAGGGAATCTCACAGGGTGCCATTCCTAGATAAAGAGTTACAAGTATTTAATGACTGCTGAGAGAGGAATTTGTTTTCCCTAGAGATGAGCCTCTAATTGATTATCCATTGGTTATCCAATATCATTCAGCAATCTCTGAAAGCACATATATATAAGCAACACTAAACATTAAACAGCAGGTTGTGTTGTGTGCATCAATAATTTCAAAAAAACACCATGGATTTGAAAGTGATCATAAAAAGGAAGGACATAGAGGAGGTTAGGGGTTATAGAGATGGGGAAAACTATGCAATTATATTTTAATTAAAAGTAAGTTTGAAAATTTAAGGTGGATGTTGCCTAGTTTGCAGGGCCAGAGAAAACTGTTGAGATAAAAATCTGGGATAAAACATAAGTAAAGACTTCTGGATAAAGTAATAATAATCAAAACACTAAACATACAGAACAAAGAATAATATTAAAAGCTGCAAGGGAAAAGATCAAGTAACAGATGAAGGCAGGCCTATTGGAATTATACCAGACTTCTTAATGAAGACTCTAAAAGAAAGAAGGGCCTTGACTGTCTCTAAGAGACCATAGATGCCAGCCCAATCTACTACACCCACCAGAACTTTCAATCACTATAAATGGAGAAATCAGGATATTTCATGACAAAGTCAAATTTAAACAACTCCAGCCTGACAGAAAATACTAGAGGAAAAACTCTAACCCAAGAAGGTTATCTAGACCCATGAAAACAGGCAATAAAAAATATCACATCAGCAAACCTAAAAAGAGGACACACACACACATACACAAACAACAGCACCAAAATAATTGGGATTAGCAATCGTTGGTCATTAATATCTCTCAATATCAATGTACTCAATTCCCCCAATAAAAAAGCAAAGGCTAACAAAAGCAGGATCCATCCTTCTCCTCCATACAAGAAATATGTCTGAACATCGAAGATGGACATTACTTCAGAGTAAAGGGTTGGAAAATGATTTTCCAAGCAAATAGACCCAAGAAGCAATTGTAGCTGTTAGAACTGTAGTTGTTCTAATGTCTAACAAAATACACTTTCTACCAGCATTAATCAGACAAGATGAGGAAGGATGTGGGTCTCCTCAATCTCATGAATCATTGGCCACTATGGTCCACAAGGGCAGTGACAGCAGAGACAATAGAGATGGGGCTGGTTTCAGAATCCCCGTGAGTACTTACAGTGATTGACCACACTGGGACCAGCTATCAGAACACAAATTAACTTCATTTAGAGTTATTCAGGGCTTATAAAGTTTGAGGAGACTGAGCAGGATGGGCAAAGGTCATTGGCTGAGGACTTAAGAGTACCAAAATGCCTCATTAACATGGGGAAGCATTTTAGGAATCTCAGGTGCAAGCTGAATAGGTTCTTATGAGGAGAAAGGAAATTGATCCTGTCATCTAACTAAGGCTATGTGACATTCCTCATGTAGAAGTATGTGTAGGGGCTTAGAATTCCCCAGACAAGGTCAGAGAAGAAGCCCCACTTGAAGGGAGTTTCCCATATGGCACTGAGGCCAGAGGGTATCCATTCATTGTGAACGTCAACCTCAATTTGCAGAGTTTTCCCACAGAAAGGCACTTTCATAATCAGGAAAACCTCATTTGGCAAAGAAACATTACTAAATTTAAATCATACAGCAAACTTCAAATGTTAATAGTGGGAAAACTTCAGTCTCCCACTCTCACCTATGGACAATTCCTCCCTCCGATTTTTTTTTCTTTTTTCTTTTTTTTTTATAATACTTAGTACTTTATTATCAACAAACAGCTGCTTTATCTACAACTGTTAATGGGTGAGAAGACACCCTCGACCCTAACAAAACTCATATTAAGCCTTTATATACAAGCAAATTTAGAGCTCTTTTAAAGTGTCCAAAACTATTCATTAGTTTAATTGAGTAATTAAACTAATCGAGTCAACATATCTGAACAATGAACTAAAATATTCAAAAGTTTTTCTAGTACAAAAAATTAAATGCTTTAGTTATAAAAGAGCTCTATCAATATACACAAACTATATACTTCAGACAGTCACAAAAGTGTGAGCAGAAGGCTTATCAAAAGACATTTAATACAATTAGTTTTCGACAACCCCTTGGTGGTCCACATCTACAAAGAAATCCAGCCCAACCCCCTCAAATCCCACCCCACAGAAAAGCACATACTTACCAGAATTTTTAGCAAGTATGGTTTGGGAATTTGTTTTGTTTTTTTAAAAAAAGGCCCCCAGGGCAAGTTATTTACAGTTTAATTGCCACTGTCAACTGATCTGGACCTGGACCGGGACCGGGACCTCTGGCGATCCACAGATGCTGGAGATTTAGATCTACTCGAAGAACCACGTTTCTGGCTCTTCTCAGGCACAGGAGACCTACTACCAGAACGGGACTTGCTCCGGCTCCGGCTCCTGCTCCTTGATCGGCTGTAAGACTTGCTCCTTCGTGAACGGGATCGGCTACGGGACCTAGAGGAACTCCTGGTCCGAGATCGTGACCTGCTTCTTGACCTGTGCCTTTTGCTGCCTTCAATTAATTTGATTTTTCTCCCGTTAATTTCCTTTCCAGAAAGTTTCTCAATAGCATTCTTTAAGTCACCGTAAGAGGCAAACTCAACTACCCCTTCATTTAGTTTAGGTCGATGCGCATCCGCAAAGGTTACTTCCCCAGCTTGTCTCATGAAATCTTTGAGATCCTGCCAGCTGACTCTTGAGGATAAATTCTCAACTATAAGTCGATTTTCTGTTCTTACAGGTGGGGCATTTCGTCTGTCATTTCGAGGTCTGCGACTGCTAAAACGGTCGGAGTATCGTCCTCTACCTCTTCCTCCTCGAGACCGAGCCCGAGCGTGTTCAATAGTAACCCTTTCACTGCACAGTTCCTTCCCATCAAGTTCATAAACAGCATCATCCGCGTCCCGTGGGTCCTCAAACTCCACAAAACCAAAACCTCTTTTCAAATCAATATCTCTGATTCGTCCGTAACCCTTGAAGAATCTTTCCACATCTTTCTCCCTCGCTGCTGGATTTAGTCTCCCAATGAATACTCGACAGCCACTCATGATGCCCGGCTAGTGTTTCCTACCGGACAGGGTCTTTGACGGCTGAGACCTGGAGAGGTCCGGAGTCTGCGACGGAGCTGTCTGCCTCCCTACACACACGAACTCAACTCCTCTACGTCTCTCCACAACTGACCCCTCCGATTTTTTTATGAAGTCACTTTTTGCTATGAACTTTACTGTTAGCACTTACTTTCATTATGTCCCATACGTTTGGGTATGTGGTACATTCATTTTCACTGGATTCTAGGAAGACTTTAATTCTATCTTTGTTTTTGTCTTGATACCAAAGTCAGTCAGTAGGGAATTGTTCAGTTTCCCTAGTTTGTAGGCTTTCTGTTGTTTCTGTTTTTGTTGAAATCCAGCTTTCACCCATGGTGGTCTGATAAAAGGGGGTGGGATAAGCAAAGTCAAAACTTCTGGCATCCTGCCTTTTAGAGGGGACAAGCATTGTGGCCCTTCTCTATGGCTTCCTAGGGTGGATTCCAGTGAAAAGAGACAGTCCGTGGTTTTAAGGCATTTATTGCTATGGAGGAAAGTGGATGAGTAAAACTATACCCACTTCTCAGAGTGGGCCTGAGGTTAAATACCTTTTGCAGGAAGGAGTATCTGGGAAGGAAAGCTTAATTGGCTAACCCCTTCATGCCTTTAGGTACCTCATTAAAGTGGAAATCTGGCTTGTGACCTATGGTTACATACTCTACCTGTGGAGGGTCTTGAGGTATTGTCCTTACATGACTGATGGCCACAAATCTATGAAGGGCTGCAACCTCCTCTCAGGAGCCTAGTGTCCAGGAACCAAGCAAAATGTCTGCCATCCCATTATGGTCACCAGGGTTTTTAGCCTTAGTTCAACTAATAAGCAGGCTGCCTTTCATGTTCCTACACTGAGGTTTATTAATCTTAAGGAATTCCACAAAGCTTTATGCAGGACTCATCAAATTAAAGGTCAGTATGAACTATTATATCTAAAATGACTTGAGTCAAAGCCGATCAATAGGCAGCACTTCCTACACCTGCATGTGAGCTCATTGTGGGTTTTTTTTGTGTATATATATATGTTGAGTGAAAAAGATGTTTGTTGTCATGGCTCAGTTCTGAGTTCTGAGTTATAGTCTTGATCAATCAGTATTAGAGTTTGCCTTCAATAAAACATCCCTGTCTTAGAGTTCATGTGGTTATGTGGTTTGTGGAACAACTCTCAGACCCCAACAGAACCCACTCCCCTAGCTGGGCTCTCTTGTCTGGTCTCAGTGGGGAAGGATATCTCTAGTCCTGCAATGACTTGAGGTGCTATGGTGGGTTGGTTCCACAAAAGGGACCTCTATCTTCGAAGAGGTGAAGGGAAAGGGAGATAAGAGAAGAGGTCATGTGATGGGAGCACTGGGAGGAGGAGAAAGAGGAGGAGTGCAATCAGGATTTTAAGTGAATAAGTAAGTTAATTGATTAATGGGAGGAAATGATTTTGATCATGACTGGGTAGGCTTCACCCCAGGGATAGTTCAACATACAGAAATCTGTCAATGTAATCTACCATGTAAGCAAGCTGGGGGAAGGGGGGAAGAAAAAAACCACATGATCTGAAAAGCCTTTGAAAAACTCCAACACATCTTCATGTTTAAAGTCTTGGAAATGTCAGGAACACAGGGATATACCTAAACAAAATGAAGGCAATTTGCTGCAATCATATATATAGCCAACATCAAATTATATGGGAGAAACTCAAAGCAATTTCACTAAAATCAGGGACAAGACAAGGCTGTCCTCTACACATGTACACAATATGGGATGTAAAGTTCTAGCTAGAGCAATAAGACAACTAAAGGAGCTAAAAGGGTTAAAGAGGGAAAAAAAGGAAAAAGCTAAAGTGCCTCTATTTCCAGATGATATGATAGTGTACATAAGCAATCCCCAAAATTCTACCAGAGAACTCCTACAGCTGATAAACACCTTCAGCAAAGTGGCTAGATACAAGACTCATTCAAAACAAACAAACAAAAAAATCAGTAATCATTCTATATACAAATAACAAATGGGCTGAGAAAGAAACCATAGAAACAATATCTTTCAAAATAGCCACAAATAATATATCTTGCAGTATCTCTAACCAAGTAAGTGAAAGAACTGTATGACAAGAATGTCAAGTCTTTGAAGAAAAAAATTGAAGAAGATATCAGAAGATGGAAAGATCTCCTATGCTCAGAGACTAGTAAGATTAACATAATAAAAATGGCTTTCTTACAAAAGCAATCACAAAATTCAACATAATTCTTATCAAAATTCCAAAACAATTCTTTACAGACTTTGAAAGAACAATACTGAACTCTTTATTGTAGAAACTAAAAAGCAAAAATTGCTAAAGCAATTCTATGCAACAAAAAACCCTTCTAGAGGTATCACCATCTATGATCTCAGGCTGCACTACAGAGCTGTAGTAATAAAAACTGCACGGTATTGGCATAAAAACAGCCATATCATTTTTATCAGTGGAATCAAATCAAAGAAACAGAGGAAAAG